TATATATATATATATATATATAATTATATATATATATATATATATATATATATATATATATATATTTAAAACATAAAATTTTTATATATTTTTTATAATATATGACTCAGGGAATCATTAAATTCTGAAGTTAAGATTTTTATTACAGCAGTGCACGGGATTAGGGAAGAGTAGAATCCCAGTCTCTCAAGTATTACATCTCCTCTATCCTAAAAAGAAAAGAGCTCCTTTGAACATCTACATCTTCTCCTGAGGTTTTGGTACGGGAGGAGGAAGCAGAAGTCGCTCTGGTACTCTTGAGAGATGGTGAGGATGAGTATTCGTGTACTCGTCCAACCACCCTAGGGATCTGAAGAATGTAAAGGAATATGAGATTCAGTATATAAATTACATATGAAATTGTACCGATTGGCTCTTTAGATACTCATTAATGATAAGGGAAAAGTAAAATGAATCCAATTAATGTGAATATAAACATGCAGCTTGGAATGCTAACGGGTATGTCAATTTCACGTAAAATTGACGCTAATTATTTATCACCGTTTACGCATCAGAGAGGTGGCACATCTGCAAACATGTTGACATTTTCTTAACAAAGTTTGCGAAAAAATAATATAAAATGGCAAAAAAGTTAAATTCATTTTATGTGAAATTAACATAAACATGCTCTTTGGGCAATAACTGAGACAAAAGGTACTATCTAAAATAATATCCCATACGAGCAAGTTTGTTTGCCCGAAGGGAAAAAACAAACTCCCTATGGTCGCGCCTTCGGCGCTTTATTACCTTCGCTAGAGCTTAATTCTTTCATTTTTTGCGAAATGGGAAAAACGCATTTAAAGTAACTCCCCCTTTAAATGCTTGACATATTGGGTTGAAAGTCCTGATTTTCATGAAAATCATTACTTCCATGATGCTATGCTGACCTAACTTGAAATCCTTTCCTGTGTCAATTCTTATATGGGTGGAGAATACATTTAGAAACGCTTCCCTCCTAAAATCTATACTAAGGAGACATATTCCAAAAGTAGGATTTTTCCTGTACTCAGCCACCAAACAGGAACTTCTGAGGGAATTTTAAATTGTGTGTCTTTGTCTCGTTGGATCAAAAAATAATTCCTGAAAATAGGACATAAAAGAGTGCCCTGATGGGTTTTAATAAAATTTTTCTCCTATTGAAATTTAGACTTAGGGAACTCCATGCCACCCAGTTTCAACCTTATACTTTTCCATTTTTTGCTCGCGATGAGCATGTATTTGGAAAAGCGACCCACCCAAAAGCTGTGCTCTGAGGAAACTCCAAAAAAGTTGAACTTTTCCTTAAATCAACACCACGTCCGCCAGCTACTTTTCTATTTCTACCCGATTCGGTAGAACATGAAAAATTCTTTGAAAACGTTACGTTCCCAATGAATATGAACCCCGAACATATTTAGGACATTTGACGTTTGAGCTCAATGCGTCAGCGGTCACGTTCTTTCCAAGTTTCAGCTACCCATGTGTCTCCGATTGATTGAATCAAAGAGAACTATTTGAACAAATATGTTCCCCGAAAGGTGTGCCCCTATTGCATGTATCACCAAAGTCAACCTTTCCCGGAACTCAGTATGTGAATAGCTATTCGTGTCAGTCAGTAAGCTACTCACGATCGCATGTATATAATAAAAGTATAATTTTTTCTTTAATCAACTATCCATCAGATACTTTGCCAAGTTTATGCGCCCGTTTTGTTTTCCCGGATCAGAAAATTCGTGAAAATATGCCTTTTACAAAATATCTGCGCTGAGCCATTTTAACCAAAAATACCATTTTTTCCTTTTTTTTTACCGAAATCCATATTCAGTGAACGACATGACAAGAAAGTTTCAATATTATGTGTTTTTCCCTTTCGCGGGTGAAAAAACATGTTTGGAAAAGCCGACGCACCCAAAAGCTATGCCAGGAGGGGATGCACCATAAAAGCTGAATACTCCCTCAGCTCAGTAATAGCATGTCACTTATACGTGTGCCAAGTTTCCCCTTTCAATTTCTGGATCATTCGCC